TGCATTCTTTTCGGCTCATTAAAAATTAATCTTGCTGCCACATTCTGGATTAATTGTAAAGGTTTGATAGAACTGGCTGGAAGACCTACCAAGAGAGCATTGCAATAGTCCAGCCTGGACAGAACAAGAGCTTGAACAAGGAGTTGTGAAGCATGTTCTGAAAGAAAGGGCCTGATCTTCTTGATGTTGAATAAAGCAAATCTGCAGGACCGGACAGTTTTTGCAAACATGTTTGAAATTTTGCGCCAATTTTAGAACACATTGTTTTCATTTGTCACGCGTCTCCTAGCAACAAGGCACACGTTTCTGCGTAAGTTTGTTGTGATTGGAACCTAGTTTGGAATATATATGCTGTAACGCTATCTCACGCTTAGCTTCTGGGCCAAATCCTGACTGATGGCGATCCATTCTTGCCTCATTAGTTCTCGGAGTTGATCACAATGTGTGGGCTTCTGCTTGTCCACTCACATTTTGAGGACTGACCACAGGTTCTCTGTGGGATTGAGATCTGGGGATTTGCCTGGCCACGGATCCAAAATTTCAATGTAATGATCTTCGAGCCACTTCTTTATCACTCTTGCTTTGTGACATGGTGCTTTGATAGAACTGGCTGGAAGACCTACCAAGAGAGCATTGCAATAGTCCAGCCTGGACAGAACAAGAGCTTGAACAAGGAGTTGTGAAGCATGTTCTGAAAGAAAGGGCCTGATCTTCTTGATGTTGAATAAAGCAAATCTGCAGGACCGGACAGTTTTTGCAAACATGTTTGAAATTTTGCGCCAATTTTAGAACACATTGTTTTCATTTGTCACGCGTCTCCTAGCAACAAGGCACACGTTTCTGCGTAAGTTTGTTGTGATTGGAACCTAGTTTGGAATATATATGCTGTAACGCTATCTCACGCCCAATTCGTACGTATTTTACGAGGTGGCTAATTCGTACGAATTCGTACGACCTCACTCATACGATTTTGTACGATTTGTTTACAGTCGTGGCCAAAAGTTTTGGCAGTGACATAAATTTTTTGTTTTGCAAAGTTTGTATTTACAGTGACCACAGGTTCTCTATGGGATTGAGATCCGGGGAGTTGCCTGGTCATGGATCCAAAATTTCAATGTAATGATCTTTGAGCCGCTTCTTTATCACTCTTGCTTTGTGACATGGTGCTCCATCATGCTGGAAAATCGGATCATCACCAAATTGCTCATGGATCGTTGGAAGTAGTCGCTCTTGTAGGAAGTTTTGATACCATCCTTTATTCAATGTAGTGTTTTTGGGCAGAATTATGAGAGAGCCCACTCCCTTGGTTGAAAATCAACCCCACACATGAATGGTCTCATGATGCTTCACTGTTGGCACAACACAGGACTCATGGTAGCATTCCACCTTTTCTTCTCCGAACAATCGATTTTCCAGATGTCCCAAACAGTTGGAAGGGAGCTTCATCAGAGAAAATAACTTTGCACCAGTCTTCTGCTGTCCAATCCTTGTACTTCCTGCAGAATTTCAGTCTGTCCTTGACGTTTTTCTTGGAGAGAAGTGGCTTCTTTGCTGCCCTTCTTGACACCAGGCCATTGTCCAAAAGTCTTGGCCTCACTGTGCATGCAGATGCTCTCACACCAACCTGCTGCCATTCCTGAGCAAGCTCTGCACTGCTGGTCACACGATTCTGTAACTGACTCCTCAGGAGGAGAGGGTCCTGGTGCTTGCTGGACACTCTGGGACGTCCTGAAGACTTCTTCACTGCAGTTGAACCTCTCTCCTTGAAGTTCTTGATGATACGGTAAATGGTTCTTTCAGGTTCAATATTTTTTGTAGCAATTTCCTTGCATGTGAGGCCATTTTGATGCAAAGCGATGAAGGCTGCACGTGTTTCTTTGGAGGTAACCATTGCTAACAAGAACACAATGATTGGAAGCGCTTCTTCCCTCCTTTTATAGCAATCAGTCTGCTCTTACAATCTAATTAGTATGATAGTGATTAACCTGACTAGTACTCATTCACTCTTTCACATGTGCTGCTGATATGATTAGTCAATAAATTTTAACTGGTCATTTTGTGTCAGGATCAAAAAACAGTGAAATTTGTTTTTTTTGTGAAAAGTTCATTTTGTTGGCCAATGAAGCTTTTAGCAATTATTTTAAATGCATCTGATCACTCTAAACAATAATCTACAAACAATGTGAATGAACACCACAACAGCTTAAGCAGCAAACTTTGCAAAACTTTATGTCACTGCCAAAACATTCGGCCATGACTGTAGACCCCAGTGACGGGTAGGTTTAGGTGGGGGGTTAGGTGTAGGTCATTTGTACAAATTCATACGAATTGTGCAACTCGTAAAATACGTACGATTTAGCACATATCATATGAATTTGTACGAGTGAGGTCATATGAATTTGTACGAATTAGCCACCTCGTAAAATATGTACGAATTGCTGTGAGATCAGGCTGATACACGATCGGAACGACTTTAAACTCTGGTAATGTGTGATCCTCAGTCGTTTAGTGTATGGCCAGTTTTTCCTCTGAGACAATTACAAAAGTCGGTAAGTGTATGGTGTCCAGTGTTTTAAAATCTGTTCGGATATTAAAAGTTGTGTAGTGTATTCCAGCAAGTTGGGTTGGCGGGCATAGGTAACCATAGCAACAGGTAACGCTAAATAAACAAACAAACACAGTCTTATTTGTTTTACCTCCTAATGTTCCCAGTACATAATTCTGTATGTCCAGCAAAAGTCTCTGTTGAAAAAGGAATGTAGTCTTAACATACATTTCTCACTATCGCAATATGTATTCAGGTTTTAAAGCAGTTTTCAATACCTGCTGTGCGGTTTGTTTCAGTTCTTGATTGAACAAGTCACAGCTTGCGATACCTGCTGGATTTGTCGGTTGTGTAAGTTCTGTGGAGAGACAGTGGATTGGATACCCTCCACCTTTGCCTGCTGGTAATCCAGGTGGTCTCCCTCGTCCTGGACCTCCTGCTGACTTTGGCCCCAACAAACGCAGCAGATTCTGAGACCACCAGTCAAAAGTCATTCGTTTTTTTTTTTTTTTTACATACTGTAAAATATTTTTAAGTGCATATTGTGGTTTTGTAGGACCTGTGTATGCATTTCACATTCACAAATGAAATTGTGTAGGCAAATGTTTTAAACAGGTTGAAGTGTATGTTTTAATTTACCCTGTAAGATCTATCCATCCCCAGCAGGAGCCTTTAGGGACTGTTTCCAGAAATGAATTGAGTCCAGCTTTGGGGAGCCTTATGCTTATGATTTCTGACTGAAGATGCTTCATCTATGGGCGAGGGTTTATCTGTGCATGGAAACATTCAGCTTTGTATAGCCCTATTTTCCTTTTTTATGAACATTCAGCTTTGTATAGCCCTATTTTTTCTTTTTTATTAATTTCTTCTCTTTTGTATTTCACCCAGCAGTGACCTTTTCTAAAGTAGAGATTAGCTTTTGTCCATCTTGTCCCTCTGCAACGCTTGCCTTTCTAGACAACTTTAAATAAATTCATAACTACATGTTACATACTGTCCAGTGTCGCTGGCAGCATTCATGGATTACATTTTGTGATTTTGTCTTTGTACAGCTGTTACAAAGAAGAAAAAAACACAGCATAAATTTTAAAACGAAATTGTCACCAATCCATTCAATCGCTAAAAGGTATGGAAATGAGTTACAAAAGTATTCATTTACCACTTTTGTTTATATATAGCCTATGTCTTTTAAACCACCTTGAACTTTTTGACTCCATTGTCCACAACAATATTCAAGGCCTCCATGTGGAGCAGACTCCTTGTGCAAACAAAAATCTCACTGGGTTATTACAATTAATGGCAAAATGAATGTTTGGAAATGTAAACTGATATTTCCTACTGCAGCAAAAGATAGAAATTGCCACCAATTACATATATATATATATATATATATATATTTTTTTTTTCTTTTCTTTTTCTTTTCTTCATATGGGCCCTAAATATGTATAGAAGACGCGACGCCAACCCTCACGTCCGGTGTAGACACGGATTTGTCCCCGGGTCAAAGAGTATAGAAGTCTATATAAGTTCTTTGCCCAGGTGGGCGTTCCTATACGGATACGCAAACACTATCGTAAGCATCTTTGATCCGCCCATTCCCACCCACAACCCACATTATGGGGGTGGCTTTAATAGGAAACTTCATTTACATACCTTTTCCTGCTTTTGCCCTTACTTTAGCAAGAGCTATACATAAAAATCGCATTAACATTTTATATACGACGAAATGGCAGGTAAGATTAATTCATATAAATAATATATGTGTGTGAGTAAGAAAAGTTCATTTGTAGGCTATATGAAGAATATTTTTGAAGAAATCGCAGAAGAACAATGAGATGGAAAGTGAAAATAAAAAAACGACGAAAGGTTACCAGCTAAAGAAGACTTGAGGCCTCCGTTTCAGTTTTATGGTCAGATTTAAGGCATTTAGCAGACAGGCAAAACTCTCTGCGACTGAAAATATTTTAGATTTACATATTAGATGTATGTAACATATGTAAGTATGCCATTCAGAACTGTGAGAAAATATTATATTAATACATTGTACATTCTAATGTGGATCGTTGTAACATTTTGACATTTCTGTCTGTATCTTAAGCCCGTGCGTTCAAAATGTGATTCAAATTAGTTACAACTGTCTGCTATTAAATGCTGTAGCGGTTATATTTGTAGCACAAACAGAAAATGCATGCTTTAGTTTTAAATATGAGGAGTGAAATGTTACAATTCACCCCATACTAGTCTGGGCTAGTTGTAACATACCCTGCGGTGAGATTGTGCAACAAGGATTATGACAAGAAAAAAAAAAGGATTTTGAAAGCTTTTTATTCAACACTGACTTTTCAACATTATGGGTGTGTGTGTGTAACAAAACTGAATAAAATGACAAATTTGCGCCAGCTTCAACAATTGAACAACAATTGCGTTTATGTGTTACATTATCATTATGATAATAAAACTGAATAATGATAATAATAACTGAATAAAACTGTGAGTGTGTGTGTGTTTAAGCATGTTTGTTAATGTCAGTCAGTAAATGGCCATAATAAAAGTGAATTTAAACAGTTGAACATTTAGAGACACCCCTCGGTTTGCCTTTCTCCTAGACCCAGGCATACTGAAATTCAAAGAAAATATATAAATATGTTTAGAGTAAGTTATAACATGTTTCATTGATGTTACTACTAACCCCGAGTCTTGCTGTAGAAAGGGGACAAAAGCAAGTGAAATTATGTTAGCATGCTTGAAGGACAGAGACAACTGTCTTTACGACAACCTAAACATAGACAGCCATTTAGCAATTCCTGAAAGAGGAGCGACCTGTAGCCCTGCACCAGCGCCACACAGTACAACAGGTACAGCTACATGAAGCATTTAGTAATCATGTTTACTTTTCATTTAAATATGTTATCACATTTCCTCTTTCGGTCCAGTTTTACAGTTTAAAAATGAACCACATTTTTCTTAAAACATATTTGGAGACTATTGTTTTTGTTGGTTTTGTGGCATTCATGAATATATTGAAAAATATCAAACTTTAAAGACTTACTGACAATATCTTTTCCCCGCAGACAAACAAAACAATTTGGTCAGTGGAGTAAGTGATGCAACATGTTCGCATTATACATTTTCCCATGATTTCCCTTTTTTTCTCTAAATTTATAAACATTTCAGACAGATTTCATTCTTGAATGTTGCTTGTGCTTTGTAACACTTGCTCTTTTGTTCCAGGATAAGGTGTACAAAATGGACAGTAATCCACGTGGACTGTGTGTAATTATTAATAACGAGAACTTTGTAGACCCAGAAAAGAAACGAAACGGATCCCAAAATGATGTTGGTAGGCATTCGTTCACACACCGTTTGTCACGCCCCTGGACTCTTTGTGTTGTGTTTTCCCTCCCCAGGTGTGCTGTGTTCCCTTTAATTAGTCATTCCTTGCACCTGTGTTTTCTCAATCACCCAGTGCTTAAAAGCGCCAGTCCTTTCAGTTAGTGTTTGTCGGTCCTCGAACGTCATTCCATGTGTTCCTGTGTCTCCTACGTTCCCCGTGTGATCATTAAAGACTGTGAATTGAAGTATCTCCGTGTTTCCTCATTCCTCGCTCCTTGCCTCCCGAGAATTGTGACAGAAGGACCGACCAAAACAGTAACTTCCGTGTTTTCCCCTCCGTTTGTTTTCCGTTTTTTTGGAAAGAAAGTGTTTTTCTTTCCGTTGTGTCCCCATGGATCCCTTCACTCGCCCCGAATTCCTCCTCCTCCTGCTGGAGTAGTGAGACAAAGCTCTCGAGGACCATAAAAAACTATTCCTGTTGGTCGCGAACATTACCAGCTATCCGGACGACGCGCTCTGCTCTTTCTATGATGCAAGCCTGAACGCCGAGTGCAGTGCGCTGTCGTCCGAAGATGGTCCTTGGGAGGAATTCGCCGCCTTCGTGGAGTGGACTCTGGCGAGAAACGGGTCGCCTCTCACCATCTGCCCCGTGGAGGATCTCGCCGGATCCACTCCGGACCCAGAGCCCAGCCCACCATCTCCCCGCGGTACGGAGCATCAGCCTGAGCCCACCGATGACGGAGAGCCATTTCCC